GGAAACGGGATTCTCTCGATGACTCACGCCTCCACGCGACCGATCGCCGAGCGGGTCGATCGGCGTGCGGCTCCGTGCACGCTCCGAGCGTCACCGAGACGATGAATCGGTGTTTCTCTCGGGCGCAGAAACATGCGTGAAAAATGGATGACGGCAAGGCAGTTATCTCGGCAGGGGTAAGTCTGCCTCCGTGCTTGCGAAATCAGAATTCTGTGCCGGTGCAAACAGAATTCCGTGCCCGTGAAAACGGCTCCTCCCGTGCCTGGAATCGGGATAGCTGGACGTGATCGGGCGCATGCTGGAGTCATGGATGAGAGAGCTCCCTGGGGAACTCCCGTTATAATGATGCAGACGGAGTCGAAATCCCTTTAATGAGCCACCTTCTCTCCCAACACATCATCATCATCTGCTTTTTCCTCGTCGTCCCCCTGACGTACCCCTGCAGTCCTCCTCCCATCCCCTGCCATCCCCTGACGTCCTCCTGCCATCCCCTGCCGTCCACCTGCCGTCCCCATACCGTCCACCTACTGTCCTCTTGCCGTCCCCTTAGTGACCCCTGCTGTTCCCCTAAGGCCCTCCTTCGGCCTAGGGATGTGGACTCATGTCATCATGAATTATTAATCGTTGTTTCTTCACTTAAATATTGCGGATGGGAAAAAAAAATGAGGCCGTTGAGGGATGGGAAGTGTGACGAGCCATCATCCCGTTAATTCCATGCGGATCCCGGCCGCCCCATCGACTGCGATTCCTCGAAGAGTCGAAGCTCGAGTGAAAGGAAATATAACGTTGTGCGAAGTAACGTCCTTCAATCGGATGGGGCGTCACGATGAGCCGGTCCGAGCTCACTCATACGTGTCGCCCCCCGTGTAATCGCTATTCATCATCTTTTTTTTTCGTGCCGGTTTTGAAGACGCGCACCGAAAAGGCTTCTGCCTTTCCGGTAGAATGCCAATCTTTGGATGGAGCAGAGAAACTTCAGACTGAAGTATCATGCCAGCATCATTATGACTGCAGAATTATGCCTGCAGAATTATGATTGCATAATTATGACTGCAGAATTATGTAGAGGAAGGCAAATGGTGATCCTCGGTTTCTTCGACCAGATGGCTCCTAATCTCACCTGAATTGAAATTCCGCCAAATAATTTTTCCACGCCAGATTTTTAAAAATTTTTTTAATTAGAAAAGGGTTAAATTTGAAGGGGATGTCTGTGGATTCCAGGCTTCACGCAAGCCCAAATGATGATGACGTCCAGAGGGAGGAGGATCAGCGCGGCCGACGCCTTCATCAGACCGGTCCGCAGCAGGAAGAACCTGCACATCTCCCTCAACTCGAGGGTGCTCAGGGTCAGTTCAGTTTTTTGTATTTTATATTATTATTATCATTTAATATTTTCGGATTGATTTCCGAATTCAAGTTATGCAAAAAAAATTTCTTGAAATTTTAATATAAATATATTCCTATATTTAAATGAAAAAAAAACGTTTGCCTAAAATGTTGGGGTTTTCGCCCGAAAACCGAATATGAAAATATTTTAAAGCTAAATTATATCTAAATTACATTATCTATAGTCTTTCGAAAGGGTGTCTTCTTGCTGAACTAGCTGGAAAATGTCAGAATTTTGCATCCGACACCTGCAGGTGGTTTCGTGAAGATTTTTTTAAATCGGTCGCTCAGAGCTCGGGCGAGAATCCGAAATGCCAGGTGGAAGCTGCCAGGTGGAGACCTCGAGGAACGCTGGCACTCGTTTGACACCGCGCGGAAAAATAGCTCTCACTCCGGTTCTAAATGAGAAATTTAATTGAAAATTTCGCGAAACCACCTGCAGGTGTTGGATGTGACGCCCTGAGAATTAATTGCCGATATCCTTCACGGTATTCTGTCTGCAGCCACTTAAAATAGGGAACTACGTTGGCTTACCTGCAGAGCTCCTGGGTCACCTATAGCATCCATGGGCCACCTAGCGGTCCCTTGGGCCACCTACAGGGTCCTTGGGCCACCTATTTCAACGCCTAAAGCTCTCTCATTTTGTTCATATTTGAACGAGAATTACATTTCATCGTGAAAGGATGCATTCTCGAATTATATTTATCATATATATCTTTTTTTATTTGAGACAAAAACTGGGGGAAACACTTTCACGCATGGTTGACCGCAGAAGGCCGTTAGATGCGTTATTATTGCCCTGTTCCCATTTGAATGAGAAACGAAAGAAGGCGGTTGGGAGATGCGAGGATCCTCATTTTCGAGGCATGCCGCCTTCAACAGACACGTCTGTCTCGCATGAAAATTAGGGATTCATAAATGGATCCTCCGCCAACATGGAATTTAAGGGAGAGGAGGGAGAATTAAAGGGAGAGGGGAGAATTAAAAGGGGATTCCTCGAATTTCGGCTAAAAAAAAAACTTTGGGAAGATGAAAATGCTCATTCACTGCTGGTTTTTTCGATAAAATGCTTTGAGGCCGAAGATGGCAGATGATGAAATCGGCGATACCTTATTGAGATTGCGAGAGAGGCACAAAGCAGCGTGACGGCGCGGTGAGACGTGTTGAATCCCCCTTGCCAACAGGTTGCACGGCAGGTTGCACTGCATAGCCGTCCGGAAATTATGCGTTTCTCATGGATAATTTTGATAATTTTGGATAATTTTGGATTTTGTTCGGGCAGAACGGAGAGATGGCGTGCAAGTTCCTTTTGTCCCGTGATTGTGGTAGTTCTATTTTACTCAGGAAGAGAATAATTAAAATAATAAAATTAAGAAGAAAATAATATTTTTGAAATAGAATCCCTTTCCTATAGTTCTTTTTATTCCAAAAGGCCCGTACTTCACGAACGAATTCGTTCGGGAATGTCCGGTGGAAACTGGACGATTGCTCGCTCAACGCCCCGCAACTTTGCCGAAATTGGCACTAATGCCCTTCGAGTCACCCGCGATCCGCCGCGATCAGCCGGCGCGAACCGCGAAAGTCAAAAAGGAGGCCCGACAAGCAGATGAGAAAGGAGGAGTAATTGCCCTCCGCGGCAGTTCATCGTCGTGGAGGAAGGAAACCCCCTTCTCATGTTCCCAATTAGCATCCTATTCGTCGGCGGAAGATCGCGTGATTGATTTCTGAGGATTGCCCTCGTGACCGCGAGGTTATCGGCTCGGCGGCCGGTTCTCACGCTTCACCGTGCGGCTGCCAGGCTTTGCAAGAGATCCTCATTTAATATATATAATTGTGTATATTTTTATATATTAAATTAATATCTTTATAAATTAAATCACTGCAAATTAAAATGTTAAACTTTATTTAAAGATTTACATTAAAACTCTTATATTTGATTAATTAAATACAAATATATTGAATTACAGATTAAATATGAAAATACATATATTTTAAAACACTTCAATAACATTGAATAATCAATTGAAACGAAAGTTCTTCAACTCTGTTGCTCAGCACATGCAACCTGCAATTGGTAGAAGGAAGAAAGGTCTCAAGCTCGTTTTGAATCGCTACATGAGGTGTGACAGAGTTGTGACGGCCTCCATAATTGTGCTGCGTCATCGGGTGACGAGTGCCTCCAATCCTTTGACGAGGACGGAGCGACCTCTGAAAGGAGTCATATGATGCAATGGGACAGGTGTGCGTGAGATGGTCGGCCGGGTCGGTCGGGTCGGTCGGGTCGGTCGGGTCGGTCGGGTCGGTCGGTCGGTCGGGTCGGTCGGGACTCGGCGGGGGGAGGACAAAATTTGAGGGACAGACGGAAATTGATATGTGGATGTCGAATTCGATATTTATTTTAAAAAATACCGTATTGATACCAAGTTTGAAAGGGATGGGATGATGCGAGAGCCTGGTCTCGGCCCCTCAGCCCGCGATTTTGGCAATCAGCAATTTGCCTCGGAAAACGTGACCGCTGTGGGAAAATGTTGATTTAATGTCATGATTCGAAAAATTGCAGTAATCCTTACCCATTATTCCCTTGTAATCCGCAGGTAATCCTTAAGATAATCGCAAGAATGTTCTCCAGACATTTTTTTCTGTCGAAAAAATGACATTACACTCACTGCAGGTAACGAAGGAAATCGGACCATAAAAGAAGTACTAGAGAAGTACTAAAGCGGTACTAAAGAGGTACTCAGAAGCGAGAATTCCTCTTTCGTTACCACTCGGTTACGCATGCGGCTCATCCGGTTTCCTGCGAGTCGCTTCGAAGTATCGCGCTGATGCTGACAGATGTGCGAATATGAACATGTTAAAAAAAAAAAAACGTGGAGTGTGGAAAACCATTTCCTAGGTTTCCACTCCGGCCGGAAGCGTAAGAATTTCCTAGCAAATGTTACTCTGAACGGTTGAGATCTCGCACGGATTCCCCTCGCGAATCACCAGCTAGAGGAGACTCGTCATCTTCGGTCGGCTGAGCTGCGATAAGCCCCCAATGGCGCCTCGCGTGTTTCCCTTTCAAATCTCCCTCCAATTATTTTCACGGAAAAGAAGGAACCGGGTTAAATTTCAGGCGTTGTCTGGGACTTGAATGCTGGGCGCCGTGATCGAGTTGTCCGGCGGATGGACATTGGGGAGGGGAGGAGACGAGAAGGGAGGAGCGGGAAGGGAGGAGACCAGAAGGGAGGAGCGGAAAGGAGAGTAAGAAACCTCCTTCCGCAAGAAAACAAGAAGGAAATAGAATGACCCAGAAAAGCGGAATCGGCAAGTCATGATGCGTAACTGGACCGTGTGAATGAAACGAAAGAAGGACTCGGGAGGTGGTCCAGTTCCTCCCATCTCACGGGGGGGGGGGGGGGAATGGCAACTGCCGCGACGGTGACGACAGTTGCGTTGTCTCGGCTAACTTTCGTTTTCTGCTGGTTGGCGTCTCCCGAGGCTTATTTTAATACGATTTAAAATATTTAAAAATGTTAACAAAATAATTATCAGGAAATTCCTGAAAGTCATTCCTTATTTCTTCATTAACTTTAGTTAATTAATTGAGCTTAATTAATTTCTTGACTCAGGAGATGGATGTGCACGAGAATCCTCGTTGATTCAGATTTTGTCACGTTTTCCCCTCACCCCATGTGTTAATCAATGCCATACAAATGACAGCATATGCAAGCCTTCCTGCCATTGAGCTGCGACAGACGCTGAATAAAAAAAGATGAGGTGGCTAAAAAAAAAAAAGAAGCAGGATAAAAAATGATGAGACAGCAAAAAAAAAAACATGAGAGAAAAGTCGATCGCCAGTGCAGAAACAAACCATTAAAATTTTTCGACCCGTATCGATCCACCGACGAAAAATGGGAAAAATCTCGCGATTTTTCACCGGTTACGGCGGAGGTCTAGGTCGTTCGCCTTTTCCCTTTCCAACCCTGGTAAATCACTTGTCGTCATCGATCCGGCACGTAGCACATGAATGCTCTTGCGGGTTTCCTGCCGATGGCAGGTGGGTCCGTGCCACCTGCAACTTTTTTGCGTTTTATATGTAGCATTTATATGTTTACATTTCATTCATTAATATTTATATATTATTTGTTCTCATTTTATCCCATTTAATGGTACTATTAATTATTATTATTTATTGCCATGATCCAATTCCAAAATCCCGAACCCCGGACGCAGGTGCTGATCGACCCCGGGACAAAGACGACGACCGGCGTGGAGTACCTCGACATGATGGGCCAGCGGAAGACCGTCCGAGTCCGCCGGGAGGTGATCCTCAGCGCCGGGTCCATCGCCACCCCGCAGCTCCTCATGCTCTCGGGCGTCGGGCCCAAGGAGGAACTCGCCAGGCATAATGTAATATTTTTTTTCTTCAAATTCGACTAATATATTTTTTATATTTTAATTTATTTATTTTCTTCTGAAATTATTCTCTATATATTTTAACTTAAAATTTGTCTTTAACATTCATTAATTTCAAAGTTAAACATTTTCCATTACGAATTTAGAAAAAAAAATACGAAGCCCATATTTCAGTACCTCCCTCGTTTCCAGTACTTACAGCTAGACTCCTCCCTCGCTCCTCGCCGGCGACCTCGCGTCCAGGCGATGTCCCTCACCTGCCAAGAATTCCGTTTCGTTCAAACCTCGGACGATTTAGGCCTCCACGAGAAGAAAGGAAATATGTTAGAGGATTAGCTGCTGATTAGTTAGAGGATTAGAGGTTAGCTGCGATAGAAATGGGACCGATCATTCCAGAGCCACCACGCTTAAAGCTGCAATTTCACTTTCCGATCGAGTGAAATCTATTGTTTCCCGAAGTAAACAGACTTGATTCTCCTCACGAACATCCTCATAAACATCCTCACGAACATCCTCATAAACATCCTCACGAACATCCTCATGAACATCCTCACTTTTCGTATCCCTCAGATCCCTCTGATCGTGGACCTGCCCGTGGGCGAGAACCTCCACGGGCACAGCGGGGTGTACGGGCTCACCTGGACGGTCCGGGACTTCTCGGGATTCAATTTCATCCGGGACATCATGCTCAATCCGGTCGGGTTCCTCCGGTGGTTCGTCTTCGGGGGAGGTAAGTGGTTCTGAGGGGGGGAGGGGGCAGAGGGGGTTTTAGGTTGGCGGGGTTCGCTTTGGAGCGGTCGCGAGACGCTTCTGCGGAATCGCGTCGAGAATCGTGTGGCTGGGGTGAGGCGCGTGGCGTTCGGTTACGAGTCTTCTCTTTGGTTTTTGTGCTTCTTGTTGAAATTCCTGCACTCGGTTTCCTGAAATTATGAAACATGAATGACGTTTGCCTACCTCGTGCCTCTCTCTTCTGCTGGTGATGATCATGGTGATGATTATGGTGATGGTGATGGTGATGATGGTGGTGATGGTTTTTCAGGGGCGTTTTCGTCGCTGGGAGGGCTTGGAGGCCTGGCGTTCCTGCCGAGCAATAACGCGACAGACCGGGGCTGGCCGGACCTGGGTTTCACCCTCCTCACCTTCACTCCCAGCACGGACGGGGGCCTGCTCCTTCGACGGGCGCTCGGCATCCAGACGAGGGTTAGCAGCCGGCTCTGGGCGCCCGAGGGAGGGCGTCCGGGTTTGCTTCGTGAAAATTGGCTGGGAGGGGATGGATCGGAAATGGGGCCGAATTGATCTGAAATGGGGCCGAATTGATCTGAAATGGGGCCGAATTGGTCTGAAATGGGGCCGAAAGGGAATGGTCGCCTGTAATTAGCCTCAGTACTCGCAGGACTTTCGCTTGAAGTGTAGAAGTGGAATTCGAAAAATGACTTTTTCGGAGAAGGCAAGTCGAGCAAGAGAAATGAGGAGAAAGGCGGAAAAATAGCGGAAGAGGAGAAGCGTCCGTTCGGCGCTTCCTCCTTCTCCAGGCGCTTCCTCCTTCTCCGGACGCTTCCTCCTTCTCCAGGCGCTTCCCCGGAAGAACGCGTCGAGGTGCCCTCCCCCCCGAGGCCATCCGAGAGCATCGGACGATCCCCGGGGAATGTGTGCCACCAGATGCATGATCCGCGCAGATGACACCTCGCCATATGTCACCGCGGGAGTCACGCACCCATTGAGCGCGCAGGGGAGTGACGGCTGGGTTCCTCCAAGGTCTCGGCCCGTTGCGGTAGCAAATAACTTTTCATATCGCCGACACGCAAGGCCGATTTTTTTCATCAGCGTGAAATATCGAATTTTCATCGGCGTGAAACCCCGATTTCTCATCGACAAATTATTTACCGATTTCTCATATTTTTTATTTTTTTTTACCTTACCACTCACTGCCCCCCCCCCTTCCCCTTCCAGACGTTCTCGACCTACCGCCCCATCAGCTTCCGCGACGGCTTCACCATCATCCCCTACGTGACCCGGCCCAGGAGTCGCGGGCGCATCGAGCTGAGAAGCGCCGACCCCCTCGACCCGCCCAAGATCTTCACCGAGGTCTTCTCGCATCCGGATGACATGGCCCTCACCATTCAAGGTCAGGCGAGAGGTGCAACAGTATGTAATAATATGCGACGATATGTGATGATGTTAATATGTAATAATATGCAATAAGGTGTAACGTTATGTAACGGCATGTGACTGTGTGTAACTGTATAAATGGCACGTGACGGTATGTAACGGCACGTGACGGTATGTAACGGCACGTGACGGTATGTAATGGCATGTAGGAGTATGAAACCCATGTAACGGTGTGTAACGGAGTGTAACGATGAGAATTTTGTCCTTCCACGTTCGATGACATTCCCTCGAGATGCACAAAGTAAGCGCCTCGAGTTGCATCTTCTCTAATCACGCCTCAGACATTAAGTACTGATAACGGTACTGAAGGGGCGCGAGTTCGCGGATTCGCCTCGGAGATCGAGGAGATTCCGCAGAAAGTCGAACTTTCCGCAGAATTTCCTGCGGGGGGGAGAAGCAAAAAATAAAGGAAAGGAAGAGGCTTTGGGGACTCGGGGAAAAAAAGGTGGACCTTACCCTTAATAATCCGGATCGCCCGTGGGGGCCAGTAGGGTCCGGTGCCCGCAGGGAATGTCCATGTCTGCCGTTAGATGGTGGCCGGTGAAGTACCGTTGCCTGTCGCTGGAAAAAAAAAAATGTTTATTGATCGATGAGACGCTTTCGATGCCGAAGGAAAAAAAAAAATCGTAAATTGCAGGGATCAAGAAAGCGCTGGAGATCGGGAACACGGAGGCGTACAGGAGGCACGGAGCGCAGTTCTTCCCCTCCTCCCTCCCGGACTGCAGGGATCGGGGGGTTTTCTCCGACCAGTATTGGGAGTGCCATGCCCGGTATCTGACCTTTAACATGTTTCATGACGTGGGGACGGCGAAGATGGGGCCGGCTGATGATCCGACTGCCGTTGTCGATCCTCAGCTCAGGTTTGTTTATTTTTTATTTTTAGGCCTTCAGAAACGTAAATGAGTAAAAGGGTAAAATGAATGAAGGAGTAAAATGTAAAATGAGTAAATGAGTAAAATGAGTAAATGAGTAAAATGA